TGCAGGCGCTGACCAAAAGACACTGCTTGCAAGAATTCTCCAGTCTCAGGTGCAAGGAGAGCATGCATAGCCACAGTGGAATACAGATAGAGACCATACCTTGTAATTGGAGTTTGAGATGTAAATAACTTCCCTTTTTCTTGATAATATTTTCTCCATAGGATCCAGAAAAGGGTCTCCCCAAGGCCAGGTTCAAGGGTAAGCAGGATTCTCTACAGGACTCCTCAACCTAGAATTAGTTCCCTCCTCCCATATCTGTAACAGAGGTCACTATAGGGGTTATGCTACATGCTCAGAGAATGGGAGGAAACAAGACACTATATGCTAAGTTAATTTTTTGGGAAGGGGGGAAAAGGAGCAAGTGTTGGGTAGCAAAACTGATACTATTAATAATTTCCTGTTATATAATGAACCTTCTCTCTCTTTGTTTTCTCTTTAACGTCTCCAGAGTTCAGGAAATGCTTCTCTATAGCTGCCAGGTAAGGCCGCAGCCAGGCAGGGACATACATTACAAGCACAGATTCTATCAAGCACAGGCTTAGGCAGTTGTCATTTTGTAACCTTCTTTAAGAACATAAGAACAGTCACAGTGGCTCAGACCAAAGGTCCGTCTAGCCCAGTATCTTGTCATCCGACAGTGGCCAATCCCAGGTGCACCAGAGGGAATGAACAGAACAGGTAATCATCAAGTGATCCATCCCCTGTCGCCCATTCCCAGCTTCTGGCAAAAGGCAGCTAGGGACACCATCCCTGCCCATCCTGGCTAATAGCCATTAATGAACATACAAAAGCAAAACACATTGCAGGAGAAACAATGGGAAAAAAGAAAAGAATGCTGTTATAGAAGTTTAACTTAAACAGTATATAGATTCAAAATAAACATTTTACAATAAAATATTTTCTCAAATGTTGCAAAAACAAATAAATGGAAAAAACATACAGAAATGACTATTTTTGATTAAAAAGTGGATGCAATTTTTTCAGTGTAAGAATTAAAGATTTCATTAGAGAGACAGGTAGGTGAGGTTTTATTTATTTTATTGGCAATTTAGCTGAACCCAGCTTAGCTGAAGGTACCAGGTGGTGGCCACTGGTAAGACCAATTGAGTACCACATTGGCTGCTCTCAGCCGGGCATACAGCCAGCGAAGGATGTACTGGAGCATTATGGGAGACCTAATTGCATTATTGTACCTGCTACAACGCTATCACTGCAATGGTGTATGCAGCAGTGGTTGTAACACAGCCTAGCCCTGCTCAAAGCAAGTGCATAACATTGTGTGAACTTTTGTGCACTGTGTTAAGCATGTGATACGTATTATAGGCATTCTGGAGAGCTGTAAATGACTGTTTCAACACTAAACTGCTCTAGTGCAGACAAGCCTAATGTGCAATTCTGCAATTTTAAACACAATCCAGGAGCACTATACTGAAATTAACATGTTCAGGAGTTATATCTGAATAAAATTAGAGTAGCTTTTGTGTGGTATCGGACAAGGCTGGCATTTGAACACTGTGGCTTGTCTTCCAAATTTTCCATGAAGATAAGAAATGGAAAGCGACACTTGGATCACAAAATATTAAGTGGTTTCTGGGTTGATCCAGGATACCGATAAAGCATCAGGAGTGTTTGTTTTGTCTGAAATGGCTCAGCCCTTCCCCAAATTAGGTCAGATGTAAAATTCTGATTGAGAGAAAACTGGTGCTATAATTATAAACATCTAGTTATTTAAATGTATTCATTTTAAAGGTGATGGTGTTCCTATGAGAAATAACTTCAACCTAAATCTGTAAAGTTTCCATTATATCAATTGCCAGCAGAGCTACTCTTCCATGACAAGTTACTTCCTTTCCCCACTTTAAAAGCTGTTCTAAACTTTACTGACCATATTAAGTGCTATTTTTAATTAAACAGCATGGACTTCATAATGGATAGATTATGAAGGTTGATGTGGTGTGAAGTTAAATTAACCCAAGTACATTGCTTGTGTTAGGCACTGATAGCAACACCATTTTAACAGGCAAAAAGGGGTTTTTTCAATTGTGTTAAAATTAACAGGGCTTTAAATTGTGTTTAAATGAAGGCCAACATATCTGAAGCCATGTTAGCTCTCTGTGTTTTAGCCTGGGGGGAGCCTACACAAAAACATGGTCAGCTAACATAACTTAAAATGTTTTAGCCTGGATCTTAACCTTAATATTGCCCCTTGTGTGTAAGTTATGATCACATATTTTTTCTGTATCACTTCTGTCTCCCAGTACATGATAGGCTTACTCTGGGGATGAGTCAGGGTTGTGCCGTGAAGGAGGCTATTGTCTGTAGGAGCACTGCCTCATTTGTTGCAGAAGCTGGAAAGTGTGAAGTGAATGAGGCAAGGGACTGCTGGAAGAGAAAGGATGCTCTCAGGTTAAGACACTTGACTGTTGCTCTGGAGCATTAATATCCCTGCCTGTGTCACACAGTTCCTATGTGATGCTGGGCACATCACTTAAACCAAATTTTTCACAGGTAGTCATTAATTGTGTGTTCCTCATTTTCTGGGTGCTTGACTTGAGAGTCTGGGGTTTAATTTGCACTCACAGCTACAACTTAAGTCAATGGGAGCTGTAATTTGAACACAGTGCTACATAATGCTAATTACTTTGAAAAATCAGGTTCTAGTCATCTGAAACTGGGCACCCAAAATTAGTTGATCCATTTAATTTTAAATCTCTCTGTGCCTCAGCTCCTCATCTGTAAATGAGGACAATAGTATCCCCTTAACTCACAGCAGCATTGTGAAGATAATTCCTTCATGTTTGTGAAGTACTTGGATACCACAGTGAATAGCACCATAGAAAAACCCATGCAGAAATTAAAAATTCTGCCTTCAGAGCAGGATTTGAATATTGTGCAATAGATAAGGCCTAAAGTCACACATTGAATAGCTGCCTATTAATTCAGTACCATTGGTCCTGCACACTAGATGAGGCTAGGATCCTGTGAGGGGAAAAATAGTTTTGATCATGTAATTACAGACTGTATTATAATACATACCACAGGATGACCTGATTAAACACTCAAAAGTTAGGAAATGGCAAGATCAAAGGTTTCACAGGAAGCCTTAATTCTGGCATTTCCTAACTTTTGAGTATTTGACTTTAAAATCTTAATGTTCTTTTAACATAGTTTGTGTGTAATATTTGTATACACTGCTCAGTGAATGGGTTCCACAGTATAAAAAATAGTCTGCAGCAGTTCAGCAATGGGTATCTGTGTATAGATGTACAGTTAGCACACAGCAACAGAGTCAGGTTGTTGCATGCAAGTTGTTGAATATATTGGCACAATTAATTAGGGAAGCTTAGCCAATATTTGTCCACCACATTCTGAGAATAGATGAAGCATGGACTATGACTATAAAGGACTCAGTGTAATCAGGCCCTGATTCCCAAAGTTTAAAAAGAAAACCAGAAGCAGAAAAAATATATTTGATTTTCACAAATACTGAGCACCCACAGTTTCCATTGATTTCAACTGGAGATGTAGGTGCTCAACACCTTTAAAAATTAGGTCCATACACTCTGGTTGATCAGCTGTTCTTTGTTAAAGGTTATGTTTAGAGTTGTTCTATTAACCAAATGAAAAGCAAACTTGTTTATTCTTCATATTCATTTTATTAGCAATTATGAAATATAAACCTCTTATGAAAATATTCTTAACATTTCAAGATACAGAAATTAAAATCATCTTTCAAAAATATATCAGTAGACACCAGAAACAGTAACTTCTACAAAACATATGATTTCACAGACATTTAACTACATAATAGATACAGAGACTCTTCAATTAGTGCTAGGGGTATCTGATTTTTACCCCATTTTTTGTGAAACTGTACCTCATGTAGTATATAAAATTACCCATTCCAATATACTGTATGAGTGACAATACAGTATGGCCTGTATACTGATGTGCTGAGGTACATCGAGCCCCAAAATCCCTTCCCCAGCTGCAAGCTCACAGAGGCACCACACTCCTCTTTGGACATGCTGACAGTCAAGAGACTGAACTCTCTTGATAGCAGCTATGTAATGGCAAAAATCAATGTTGCATTCTTGCTGCCAGCATTGCCAACCCTGCCACCTTCCAGAGTCCATGATTGCATCCAATTGTGCTTATGGGACCAATGCTGGAGATGTATCTTGCACATTTAGTGGAGTCCTTAACTTGGAGCTGGGAAACAGATTCTCCTGGCTGACTAAATGCCAGTCAGCAAAGGGAGAAATTTTGAAGAGACTGACTAGCTAGAAATTAACATTTCCCTAGCAGACAGCTCCTGAACAAAGCTCAACAAGAGATTTCTTCCCACCAAATGGTGATCAAGAGTGGTAAGCCCATCTCATCACGATATGCAATCAGAGGAAGAAGCTTCTATCTATTGCAGAACAACATTTGAGCATTTGGAAGTGGGAAAACATGATTCCAACTTAAGTTTGACAGCAAAAAGCTCATAATTGGCTTGGACTCACATCACTCAACAGTGGTGATACACAAGGGGTTACGCAAACACTATTGGTGCAGTAACTCCCAAAGCCTGTCCAGCACCAGGATACTAGGAGGAAAGAGAACGAGACACTGGACAGGTAGTTTAGTATGCGGGGACTTCAGTTACATGTATATCCCGTTTCTCCCTCATGCACGTTCTTAAAACTGTGGTGCAGAAGTTGGATTTTCTTTAGGGCTTTTCACAACCAAATAAACCCTGGATATGTTGGCCTGCTGTACAGTCACCATAAGACGACTTTTGGGCCACAAGCCTTGAGTATAATTCAGGCAAATAAGGCTCTAAGGTTGTACAGTCCCACTGAAGTCATGGCAGCTGATTTCATTGGATTTTTGCCTAGTAAAATAGCACATGCTCCGGTCAATGCACCAGTAAAAATTTAGTCTTTTGACCCTGCATTTTTGTGCAGGACAACATTTTATTTATTTATATTTTTTTCTATTTAGGAGCTACTGAAATCAGTGGTTACAAGTGTCCCATTGATTTCAATAGACCTTTACATGATAAAAATGTTATGCAATAATATTGCATAATATTCCTTAAGAAAAAATTCCTAAGAAATACAGTACATTTGTCCAATTTAATAAAAACATTTTAAAGGACACTAAAAGATGTTAAACATTAATGCCATGTTTCTAATTTAGAGGTTGGCAAAATAGCACCTGAAATCCTGAGAAATTTGTTGCTCTATAATTCAAAAATGTCTTTCCTGATTAAGACTCTTTTCGGGGGGGAGAGGGAGGAAGAGGAGGAGACTACTTGGGCCAGAAAAATTACCTGACAACTAAGTATATCAGTTAAAACCTGATATAGTTTTAAAGTCTGCAGTGTAAGCGCCTGAAAAAACAGATATTTGAATGCCCAGTATAACTTATTAAAAGAGAAGCATTTTCAGCAGCTACTGCATTTTAAGGCAGTTATTTTAGCCATTTCATAACTATTTTCTTCAAAACTGTCCATAAAATTTAACTTTTTAGCTATAGTTTGAGAAAGAAAAAAAGCATCTAAAATGGGTTTAAAAATAAAATCTATTTTGAGGTGCTTCAAAAACCATACAATTCTTAAAATTATTTACACTATTAAAAATGAATCTGGAAAGGCAAGTTGTAGATGCCTAAAATCATGCTTTATAAACAGGACAAATAAATATATCAGCACTACTAAGTATCACTATAATCAAGGTCTTCCTCTCCATGTTGTTTGAGCAACCACCATCTAAGAGATTTTTAAAATCCAAATGAAGGCATTGCCCTTTTTAAAGAGCAAAAAGTGTTATAAAAGAAATTTGCTTAGCTTGATTCTTAAAGAAAGTAACACAATATAAGCTCTATCTTGCAAGATAGTGAATGCCTGAGACTCCCACTGATTTCATTGGGAGATGCAGGTACCCAGATACTCAACATCTTGCACCATCATGCCCTAAAACATCTTGAGACAACAAAAAATGTGTAGTTCAAACAGACAGCAAAATCAGGTTTATTGTTTTCCTTCTTTCTATACAGGCAATATTGTGAGAAAGTTGGGGAATAATGAGTGTGAATGGTCATGGAGAACCCTAAAGAAATCACATAGCTTTGGACAAAGAAAATTTACTTTGCCAGTTTGCTAACAGATGCTAACAAAGGATTAATGAAAATTTCAGTTTTAAGACTGACTATCTATATCTCATTTACCATAGACAGTAAATTACACTTAAGGTGAAGGTTTGAACAAGAAAACTTGAGAAAAAGATTTGTTCCAAAGTTACTAAACCAATAAACTGTCTTCAGAGCTGCATATTTTCTATACTTAAGTAAATATTCATATACAATAAGACAACAAAACCTCTCTTCAGTAATGCAGGCTACTAAATCATATGCATCAATTTATAATAATTCAGGGGCAATATATCATTCAAATATTTTCAACATAATTTCTACAAGAGACAACCCTCCATAATACTTATGATTCTGTATTGTTGAAACTGGATCAGTTATATTTTCATCTTTTTAAAAAAAGTTTCCTTAATTCCTTTCCCTAGAGTTTTGATCTTGACGTCAACAAAAGCAGCCTCAAGCCCACAGGATATATTCTGATGCAATCTTACACAAATATGGCTCATTTCTTCTAGAAGCATCCTAAAGCACTTTACTAGTGTTATACATGCAGGAATCACTTCACCCAAACCACCGCAGAGTGGAATGCAACAGTTGATTAACAATTTCTCTCATGAAAGTGATGGTACATGTATAAATATCTGTGCATCAAGCTAAGACTATATCCATTATTTTATGTCAGTTTCCACTCACAGGATGTATTCTTGGGTTCTGAGTATAAAAGATTTTCCTCTTTCAGAAAAGAGGAAACAATGTAAATGACTGAAAAACTCCACAGGGCACAGTGTAAAGGGTCTCAACAAAGTAAAAATTAAATCCATCTTAAAAGTCTATTGGACTGAGACCCACCAGTAGATCACAATCCATTTGGGAAACCACTATGTATTATAGTGATCTTCTCTTCCTGCCCATACAACTGGGAAACTGAACTCTATATTTTAACATTACCATAGTCATTGCTATCAAAAGGTCTTCAAACATTAAAGATGACATGTGAGGAGTGCAGGGTACATTTTGTATATTCTCCACTATGACGCTGTCTAACCAGTGCTGTTTGTGGAATCTCTAAATACCTTTCATTGGCTACTGAAACAAGAAATGGGAGGTTTTACAATAAAACATTAAACAACATAACTGCAGCCAAGAAAAGTGCAACTTTTTTTTTTTTTTTTTCACAAAAATACTTTGTATACAAAGTATTAAAAAAATTGAACAGCATTTTGAGAAATCTAAATTAAATACTTAAAAATATAAATAAAATATATTTTTTGCATAGAATTAAGGATAGTGCAACTACAGCATAACATTTTGTAGCATAAGAAATGGTCAATTAACAAAGGGCTATATTAACAACCATTTTCTTTCATCACTGAAATTGTAGCAACTAAAGAAGTAGTAAATCAATGTGACTTGGTCTATTGGGAAAGTCACTTTAAATTAAAAGTTAGCCTCGCATGTCCGTTGTACAGAAGCTGGATTATTTTGTTGTTGTTTCTTTTTGCTGAATGGGGCCCTAACTTCTTGGAGCAAGTGTATTCATGAAACTGTCACTAATCACTTGTAAGATTAAAAATAAAAAACTTGTGTAGAGTTAAGAAAAAATAATTAGACTCCACTGCCTTGCTCCTATTCTATTCAGTTATACCTGTAGTAAGTGAATGCAAACTACAACATTAGAATGATAGACTTTTACTCCCACTTTAAAGATGAGTGACCATACAAGATGTAAGAAGTGGAGAATAAGGCCCAAAATTTTTACGGATCAACACTAGTTTGTGGGAAAGAAAAATATAAGCTTCTGTAGACAGTTACTGCCTGTATAAGATAGCAATCAGGAAACAGAGACAGCAAGATCTGTGAAAATACACCAATGCCTTGCTCAGTATGACACTGAGTAGCATATGCAGAACCAGCTAGTTAAAACATCTGCTATGCTGCTTGAAAGTCAGCTGACTACTTTTCTTGGGGAGAATTTGGTAATAGAGTTAAATAAATGAAATATTTTAAATAAAATATATCTTAATATAAAATATATTTTTCCAAGATTATGATGCTTATCTTTGTTTCTGTGACGAAACAGTGTCTGACTTGCTAGATTTCATTTTCTTTAGCCTTTTTTGAATTTTGTTGCCACTTACGAACGGCAGTTCCAGAGCTACTGGCTACTACACAAAGGGCACCACCCACCGTCCACCAAGTTGGCAGATGATTGAGAAAAAGAATCTGTAAGATAAAAGCGAACACCACATCCATTGTTTTCATTATGGCAACAGGACCAGCCTTCTCTATCTGTAATGCTTTTGTGAGAAATATCTGACCCCCCAACCCTAACAGTCCAATTAATATTAGGAGAAATCTATCTGTACCACAATATGGTAAAGTCCATTCATCTATTACAAACAGTGCTACAATGCATTCAATTAATCCAATTACTGCATAATACCAAATAGACAAAAAATAATTCACAGATTTTCCCATCTTTCTTAATATAACAAAAGTTGAAGCTGTTGATACTGCACTTATAACAGCAGCTATTGTTCCTTTAAGATGATTTGTATAGCTTCCTTCAATCCCTGTAATACTGGATCCAAATAGAAAAGGCGGTCTTGCAATAAGCACCACTCCAGTGATTGTAAAGAGGGTGAAAAGAAGATCCCAAAGGCTGTATTTCTCCTTGAGAAATATCCAGGCTAACAATGATGTAAAAACTGGACTGCTGAAAGTTATAACAGTGGCATCAGCTAGAGGCATTACTTGGAAAGCATAGTAGAGAAGAATCATTGCACCAGAGCCAAGGAATCCTCGAAAGAAAAGAAAAACTCGTTTACCTTTTGGTCCCAAAAAACCTGTTCTGAAAATTAAAGAAAAACAAAGATATAATCACATTGATCTCATTGTCTGATGATTCATAATCAAACATTTAATTAGATTTCACTACATTCATACCCTCAAATGAGGGACTTTTCATCATGAAACTGTCAGAATACCTTAATTTGGCTCTCTGCAGAGATTTTTTTGGATTACTGTAACACCCAAAAGCCTCCATCAGAATCAAGATCCCATTGTGCTAGGCATTGTAGTACTGCTTGCAAAATGACCCCATAGAAAATAATATAAAGAGAAATCCTACTAATCCTTAAAAATAGAAAGTCATATCTCAGAGTTTCAGTGAGGTATTTTTGGAATAATCCCTTCTCCTACTGCTCAGAAGCTCAAAATATTTCATAGAATCATAGAATATCAGGGTTGGAAGGGACCTCAGGAGGTCATCTAGTCCAACCCCTTGCTCAAAGCAAGACCAATCCCCAACTAAATCACCCCAGCCAGGGCTTTGTCAAGCCTGACCTTAAAAACCTCAGAGATGTTTTCTGAATCTCAATGTCATTAAGAAAACAATGCCATTTATTTAGTGAGAAGTTACAAATGTTTCTTGAGACATTTCACTTCTTCAATTAAAGCCTGAATTAAAATAAGACATGCAGTCAGATTTACTCTCCAATTTCGTTAATGATAGCTGTGGATATAATACCGTTTCCCCGAATGTAAGACATCCCCCGAAAATAAGACTTACTTCCAGTTTTGCCTCTCGCTGTAATATAAGGCATCCCCCCAAAAATAAGACCTCCCCGATAATAAGGCCACCCCGGAATATAAGGCCCCGAAGGTCCAGGAAAAATAAGACCTCCCCTGAAAATAAGACCTAGCGCATCTTTGGGAGCAAAAATTAATATAAGACACTGTCTTATTTTCGGGGAAACAGGGTATTACCTACAGAACATTAGGTACCTCACAAGATTTTGTATTCAGACACAATACCTACTTGTAGTATATTAAACCAGGAAGAACAAATGCCATTTGGAAAACACATCGAAATGCACTGATTTCCACTGAATGTACATCTTCAATTTTTTTAAGAAATAAAGAAGCCACTGAGAAAAGGAAGGCAGACAATATGGTATAAAACAGGCCAAGTCCTGGGCAGGTGAATTTCTTCTTTGTTCCTGCAACAGATAATAAATTCCAGTTAGTAACTAATAGTAATTTAGCTAATGGTAGGTTTTTCAGTTGTATTTGAAAATACCATATGATTGTCCAAATGATGTAGTTATATGGGGGAAGCAGCAAGGGGTGGGAAGGCAAAAGAAACAGAGAAAACTACCACTTTTATTCATTGTAAGTACATTCCAAGTCACTTGTGTCCACCACATAGCCCCTTATTAATATTTTCTTAGATATGATGTATAGGAGGTGAAATTCAATACATAATGGCATTACACTCCTTACAAGTCACATTTTATTGTCAGCTCAGGTGGTTTACACTTTTGGCTAATATCAAAATATTTGATTGTAATTTGAGAAATTCACTGCATCAGTGTCCCCAAACTGTGGGGCACACCCTTCTAGGGGGGCATGGAGGAACATTCAGGGGGGCATGGCAAGGCCCAGGCCAGCCCCCACGGGGGGGGGGGGGGGAAGGGAGGGGGGAGTACCACCCAGCCCTGCTCTGCCCCCAGCTGCACTCCTAGCCCCTAACCGCAACTCTGCTCCCAGCCCCACCCCTCACCTCAATCCCCAGCCCTGGCTCCACTCCCGGCCCCAGCCCAGCCCGGCCCCCCACCTTGGCCCCCAGCCGTGGCCCTGCTCCCGGCCCCCTAAACCCTTTCCTGGGGGGAGGGCATGATGTGAAAAGTTTGGGGACCACTGGATTACATGGATCAGTTTCTTTCTGACAACTGCTCCAGGTTCGAGGCTTACAAAATATAACTGGCTGTGAACGTGTACTGGTTCCTGCCAGGTCATGAAACATTGAACCTTAAGACATATATGCCACCTTACTTCATTAAAATTCCAAAGATAAAATCTTTGTTTAAAAAGCCAGTTAAGGTTGCTAACTGACAACAGTTACCTATCACATCATCTAAAAAACCTAAGCACTTAAAATCAAGGAAATGACTCATTAAGTATAACATGAAACTTACATTGTCTACATAAACAAACATTCATTATCCTTAACAAGTATAAAGCAACGCACATTTCATCATAACACAACCTCCTTAAATCTATTCTATGGATTTCTGGAGTTTTGAGGGTTTACCAATATTTTCTTGTAACAGATACTAAAATGGAAAGAGCAACAGAGGGTCCTGTGGCACCTTTGAGACTAACAGAAGTATTGGGAGCATAAGCTTTCGTGGGTAAGAACCTCACTTCTTCAGATGCAAGTCAATGGAAAGATTTTTAATTAAAATAATTTTAAAACTGGTCAAGTGTTCAATTGTCATGGTCTTGTTAAACAGTCCTTGCATCTTTGCCAGTTCTATAGACAGAGGAGTTTCATCCCAGTTTGAATTCATTTGATTCCCTCTTCCAGCTTCCTCCCTTAAGAAGGTCCCTAACTCTGCTTCTTTGCTGGTCTTGAGGCTCCCTGCTACTTCAGGCACCCTTCAGTGACATTTTTCTCTCTTTTCCTGTCTCCCTCCATGTCCCCCAGTGATTCACAAAATGGGAAAAGGGGTGGAGATGAACTGCTGGTGACCTGCAACATGCCTCCAGAGAAAGCAGGATCTCTTTGCAAAATAAGATGAACACTCTACTCACTGAACTGTTAATTGAAGGAAGGTTAGACTCACAAGGGTACAATATCAGCAAGGAGTTCTAATGTCATTAGAAGGGAAAAAATGATTGTAGATATAAAAACGCATAATATGTTATGGTGTTAAGATAATAAATGGAACAGCCACTCTCTAAAGTAGTTAGTTGTGATTAAAGATGTCTCCTCTTAGACAATGGGGGAGACAGGGAGGCTTACAGATCTCATGGAGCAGAAGGAACAATGTGGCAGGACACAGCAGAAGGTTGCCTAACAAGCAACAAAGAATCAAAATAAGGATTTGTAATATTTAATTAAGAAAGTTTGTTCACAACCCATTTTGACCCTCCTTGGGATCATGACTCAAAGGTTAAGAAACTGCTCTATACCATCTAAAACAGGGGTGGGCAAACTTTTTGGCCCAAGGGCCACATCGAGATTGTGAAACAGTATGGAGGGCTGGGTAGGGAAGGCTGTGCTTCCCCAGACAGCCTGGCTCCTGCCCCCTACCACTTCCCACCCTCTGACTGCCCCCCTCAGAACCCCTGACCCATCCAACCCCCCCGCTCCTTGTCCCCTGACCACCCCCTCCCGGGACCTCCCCCATCCAACCCCTCCCCCCGCTCCTTGTTCCCTGACCCCACCCCCTATACAACCCCTCCCCCCCACTCCCTGTCCCCTGACCCCTATCCACACACCCCGCCCCGACAGGCCCCCCGGGACTCCCATGCCTATCCAACCTCTCCCCCGTTCCCCATCCCCTGACCGCCCCCTGCCCCCAGAACCTCCACCCCATCCAACTGCCCCCTGCTCCCTTACTGCTCCCCGGGACCACCCGCCCCTAACTCCCGCCCGGGACCCCAACCCCTATCCAACCACCCCCTGCTCCCTGTCCCCTGACTGCCCCCCAGGACCCTCTACCCCTTATCCAACCCCACTGCTCCCCACCCCCTTACCATGCCGCTCAGAGCGGCAGGACTGGCTTACTGGAAAGCCTGGGAGATGGGCGGGCGCAAGCTGCACAGCCCGGCAAGAGCGGCTGGCCAGAGTGCTCCCCGTGTGGCAGCGTGACTGCGGGGGAGGGGGAACAGCAGAGGAGGGGCTGGGGGCTAGCCTCCCTGGCCGGGAGCTCAGGGGCCGGGCAGGATGGTCCCACGGGCCGGATGTGGCCCGCGGGCAGTAGTTTGCCCACCTCTGATCTAAAGGATGGGATTCCAGGCTGGCCTAATGTTTTCTGACATTGGGTCCAGCTTTAACAGTTCTTAAGATAGCAGACATTAAAATCAGGTTGGAATTGAAGTGGGATAGAGGGAACAGGGAAGGCAAACGATTACCAAAATGATGTCACTTTAAGGTTCAAAATCTCAAGCCGCACTAGAGTGGGAAATGAATGACATTTCCAGTTGATTGCAACATTTGTTTTAGCTTTAATAGCTCATAAGAAAGCAGCCCTTAAAACTGTCACTCATCCCTCTATGCTATTCTGGCACTAGCCCAGGATTTTTAGCAACTGAAGACCAGTATAAAATTTGTAATTGTCCCCATTGTGCAAGTCAGTCAGTCAGTCTCTCTCTGTCTCACACACACACTTGCTTCAAAATTATTGTCTGAGATATTAAATTAAAGTAAGGAGACTCATAGTGACCTACAGCTGAAAGAGGAAATCTAAACCCATGCTGGTCCAGGGAGTGAAGCACAAAAACAGAATATTAAATTCTTATTTCCTGCACGGTAGCATGTTTGATTACTACAAAAAGTAGAAGTCAACCAAAATAATGGGAACCCTGAAGCGAATAGCCCATCAAATTAAAGCAAGAGTTCCCACATCTGGTATAAGCTTATGATTTGAAGAAAACAAAGAAAATTTTCTGGGAACTCTTAGCTTTAGTAATCTATCCAGTGTACTATGCATGTCTGAAAAATGCACTCCTCCATCGTGACCTAACACTGGACTGTCAGAAAAATAAAAAGCTATCAGAGAACACTGGAATTGAAAACAGTGGTATCTCAGATTACCAAAGCAAGAACTTACGAAATAAGACAGTGCTTCTCAATACACTAATACTAATAAAATTAAATAAGACCCTCCCTCCCCACATGAGAATTAAAGTTGTTCAAGTTTATTTTCTTTCAAAGTACATACCAAAAAGAAAGTATGGTAAGGCAACATTCCTACCCAACTCAATAGCAGTCTGCAAATATTAACCACTACCACCATGACACTCAACCACTCCAACAAACATGCTTTCAGTTCAAAAATATCATTGCCTAGCAGCTTGAAAAGCTCTGAGAACTGGGCAAAGAAAGCTTTAAATGACACCTGAGCTTTTTCTACTAGATGTGTAAAGATTTAAACAGAGCAGGTGTTACAGCAGCTTCTAGGGAACTAGTTTCCCTAGTTCTGTTCCCTAATCAGCTCCACTCCCCAGTCCCTTAGACAATCTCCAGCCCTTGTTTTAAGCTCTAGACAGGTACCTCCTGACCCCTGCCCCACTCAGTTTTCTTGTAAACTATGAGCATTTACATTTAATATGTCTAAGTTTCATATGTGTAATTGTTATACTTGCAAAATATGTACAAATAAAAATAATGCTTAGGTTACAAAACAAAACTGAATGGGCAGTTGAGAGGTGGCAAGAGAAGGTAAAGGACATTGACCAAGAATGCTCTCCAAGGCCAGAAGGCAGGGAAGGTCAGAAGAAGAGCTCCTAACCTTCATGTCTTAGGATGCTCATGAGAGAGGAGTTATCTGGCAGACCTAAAGAAAGCTGCAGGAATAAGTTTGTGTCTGTGGACTTCCCAAATTCCAGGAGACAAGCTCGGGACATGGACCCTTGCTTATCATACAGCTCAGTCAGTGAAGCACCCATCTACAGTACTCATATTTTTAAAGTTAAGCACTTGCATAAGTCTTCACAGGATCATGGCTAGAGCCCCATGTTTTTCACAATTGCAAAATAAAATGAAAAACAAAAAATGTATAAAATTAAATAAAATGAAAAATTCCCCCACACTGATGGCTCCTGCCCCACAGGGCTGGGTCTAGCTCCCTGCTCTGGGCATGGGATTTTAGCACCACTCAGCTTTGACCAGGCTGCCCTTTGGTCATCATGATGGGGGGGAGGGGTGAATTTGAGTGAGTGGCACTGTGATCCCATGGGCAGCTTGAGAAACTGGGTGAACCTGGAGAGCAGGGTGAGTGCAGGATCTCCAACCCCCATCCCCAAAGGAAGCAGGACCTGACCCACCCATATGAATAAAATGGAACACACACAAAATCCAAAAAATAAAAGAAAGAAAAAACCACAAGAATTTCATGGGGCTCTAATCAAAATAACCAAATATAAAATGTAAAAATGACCTCACAGACTATCAGAGAAAATAAAGTGAAGTAAAATATCTGTATTACCAATGAGGCCTCATAAGTATGTGGATTTTCCCTCATACTTCTTCATTATAAGCAGAGTATGGTTCAGAAAATATTGCTCACATGGCCAAAGTTCATTGTCCGTTATCTCTAAGTCATTTTAATTTACTCAGCATTCAAAACTGGCACACAAAGTTTACAATCCAAGAACAAATGCCCTCTGCACCGGTTTTCCCCACAAGATAAGCTCTATGGAAGCCAATCTCAGTGCTTGGTAAAACAAAAGCAGACTTTGACGTAAGGGTAAGGCAAGTTCAGTCTTGTTAAATGAACACTAAGCTAGGAACCAGAAATTCCAGGACTTTCTCAGTCTTCTGGACACTCACTTGCTGGGTGGCCTTGGGCAGGAGAGGTCACTTAAGCTTTTTGTGTCCTTGTTTCCCAGCATGTAAAACGGACAGTGATATTTCTGTACCTGTGCAGAATGCTGCGAGGTCTTGTTAGGAGAGGATCCTAATTTAAAGCCCTTTGTTATATAGTGCTAAGGAGAGCTAAGATGGTGGCTCCAAGCAATCTGACTTCACTCCTCTATACTTGTACCTTTAACGAATTAAGACTGTTTTAACCCGCGGGAATGGGACAAACCAGACAGCATGAAGGGAACAGGAGACTTGAGACCAAAATGTCCAAAAGCGGGTAGCTACGTGTCCCGATTCTCAACCGCCGCGTGTCATGGGGGTTGTGGTTGCCCAACACGGTGGAAAGCCGACGTTGGGCTGCTTCCTAGCGCGCCTGCGGGCGAGTGAGCGCTGAGCGCGAAGGGCTCGCTGGCCGTTAGCCCGCGCGAAGGCGGAGGCAGACAGCGGCCGCGCTGTCTCTGGGGCCAGGGGACCGCGCACCCGTCTGCCTGGCGCCCTCGGGGGAGCGGCCGAGGAGCACCGCTTGCGCCCAGTCACCGTGTCGGATGTGCCCTGGTGCCCGCTTCCTCCGCCTGGCAGTGTCCCCCCGAGGGGCGGGGAGCCCACACCGCAGGGCAGGGCACAGCTCCCCTCCCCCGCCAGCCGGGCTCCCCTCCTCACCGGGCGTCTTCCGTGCCCACGGGAGCCTGCAGCACGGCCGGGATGAGGCTGAGCAGCAGCTACAGCCGCCGCCTCCGGGCTCCTGGGCGCCCGCCGCCTCCATGGCGCCCGCCTGGCACTGGCGGTGCTGTCCCGCGCCCCCCGCATCCTCCTCCTCCTCCTCCTCGCTCCGCGGCGGCGCCGGCTCCCGTCCTCCTACGGGGGGAGCAGCAGCGCCGCCGCTACCCAGGTGCCGCACCATGGGGCCGGCTGGGAGCTCCCGCTGGCTCTACGCACTGCTGCCGGCCGGCCGGCTCACACCCGGCTCCCTGCGCCTGCGCTGGCCCCGCCCCGGTACCGCCCCCTGGGCTGGGGTCTGCTGCAGCCTGCGGGAGGTTTGTATTTGCCCCAGTCCCGTCACGGCTTGAGGGGTCGGCTGCGGGGCCCAGCCTCCAAAGCAGGGGGCTCCCTCCTCCCTCAGGTTCCTAATCCTCGCCTGTCCGCAGCCGGGGCGCGACCCCGGTCCCTGGGGTATCCTACCTCCGCATCGCCGCTTCTCAGGAGGCAGGGCCGCCCGAAGCTAGGGGCGAGGGCTGCGTGGCAGAGGTTCCTCTAGCGGTAGTTAACGTGGATTGAATAGGAGGGAGCTGCCTGAGGAGGCAATGCCGCGCTTCCCCCGCTCTCCCTTATGTTCACCCTGGAGCACTGCTGCTGTGCGGTCAGCGCCTTGCGCGCTTCTCTTTAGCTGCATCTGTGATGTTGGCTGGCGCAGAAGCCTTAGCTGGCAGCTAGGGTGATCACGTCCATTTCAAGGTCTTAAAGCAAAACTATGAAAAATGAGGCAAAGCTTATTTTTGAGGGGCAGCCGGCAGCGGCCTAGGCAGCAACATGACAGCTGAGAGTCTGCACAAATGTTTAACTGAGATAATAGTTTAGCTGTCACTTTCTGGTCTCTCTCAGTCTGCCACTGTCACTGTGCAAAATCTATCAGGCACCAACTAATCCAGTTTCTGCACCAATTTATATGGCAGGCATTTATTTCCACTGTCTCATTAAAAACTAATTGAATCATACCACTGAACAATGATCTCAGCAGTGACGATCATCTTTCAGCATTCAAAAGTGCTTTTATCTGGCTGAACATGTTCTTGTGCATAAAGGTGTCCACCAACATCATCAGATAGTTTCCTCTCCTGACACTGCGCTTGCAATTAGGCAGCATTGGGAGTGAACACACATTTCTACCCAATAACAACATGTTTAAAAATTACTTTGGTGCAGATCTACAACAGTATTTGCTCCTAACTTCCATTGATTTCAATGGAAGTTAGAAGCCTAAATACCGTTGTGGATCTGGGCCTTTGGGACAGACCTTTTTTCCTCTGTCCTCCCCCCCCCCCCTCCTTTCCCAAATAGAGAGAAAAGAGCAACTCATGTTCAAGGAAGCCTATGAACAACCCATCTAGCAGCAGAACATAAAGCCACATCCTGAACTACTAAATAACCCAAGAAACCAGAAGAAATCATAGGTTGAAACACTACAAATCAATCTGTGGCAACTGATGGACAAGGAAAATGGGAGAACATTGTCATCTATGGAGCATGACACAAAAAGGCACAAGTGGGAAAAGCACTAAGCTAATTTGTTAAAGGACATATTCAGCACCAACCAGTATGGGAACCCCAGTGCAACATCAGACACCCCTACAGCAGCGGGATCTTCCATTCCCACTTTGGCAGAACTCCAGGCAATATAGGCTTGATTTTGAGATGGGCACCCAGTGTATTTTAATGAGAGCTGCAGATGGTTGACATCTCTTAAAATCAAGCTATATGGCCCTGATTCAAAGCAGGAAACCTGCAACCCAATCCAAACCCAATGGGGCTCAACTACAAGTGTCAGGTTTGGGTCGGAAAACCACCCAACCCTCTTGGGCTTGAGTCGGCTCTCCTACTTCTGCCTGTGTGTTCTGCAGAATTAAATGTGTCAGTGAGTCACAGCACTTCTCACTCTGCAGCACACAAAGCACAGCTGAGGGCAATGGCCAGCAGGCACAGGACTTTCAGAAGCCATAGGTGCTGGAACTAGAGGTGTGGGGGGTGCTTCCACATCACCTGCATTGAAGTGATTTCCATTATAATACAGGGCTTACAATTTGGTTCAATGGCTCTCAGCCCCTCCCCCCCCACTATAAAAATTGTTCCAGCACCCCCGGCAGCAGCCAATGCACACACCCACTGCTGCGCTAAACCAACAGGCAGGGGGGTGGTGATGGCACTGACTCAGGTTCAGGGTGAAGGGTTAGGTCGAAAATGACTTGGTTGGATGAGCTTGGGTCCAGTTTAGATCTAGGTCCAGGCTTCAAAATTAGGCTCGAGCAGACCTCTAATTTAAAGCCTTTTAAAATGCATGTTAAGACACACATTGACTTCAGCAGGCTTTGGATCAGACAGATATGTCTAGTGACTCATTTTATTCTGCTCTCAAACCCAGTATCTTTACACTTCCTCACTATGGTGATCTCTATACATCATATACAGTAGAATCCCATTTATTTGAGCCTCCATTATCCGGCTCTTTCCATTAACCAAACAACCAGCACATCTGTTAGCCTGAAATTAACAACCCAAAGCCAGTGGTGTTGACTCTGAGAGACCTGATTGGAAGAGAACACCTGGCTTTCTAATTATGTACATTCATGAGGTGCTGCTCCTGCAAAAAGGAAACACTGCAGCCATTCAGGAAACATGGTAGTGTTTACTTAACAAGCAAGGGCTTTAATACTGAAGAGCAGGATTGCAAGATTAAATGACTCCCAATGGGAAAAGTGGGGAAAGCAACCTTAGCTGAGCCTGACTCCAGGTCCAGAAGTGGATGATCTCTCCTGTGGCCTCTAGACTGGAGCTGCAACCTCACACTTCCTTAATCCTGAAAGATAAGTAAAGAAAGCTCTTTGTCTGTTATCTGAATTTTTGATTATCCGATCTGGCCCCAGTCCCAGTTAGATCGGAGTTCTGCTGTACTGATACACCAGAATCTCATCATAATCTGTTCTAAAGTGTTTTACTTAAGTTCTGATTTCAAACTGTGCTCATTAAATAAAAATGTACTTCCTTCAGCTCAGGTGTGTGCATCTTTCCATGTGTGATACTGTGGAGTGCCGCATCTCATCTACAAGCCCCATAATTTACCAAAGCTAATGTGAATAGAAATGTTTTCATGGCTTTTTTATTAAAAAAAATTTAAGACTTTTTAGTGTGGTGGAGAAGGTATTTAACCATTCTCATGCAGTGTTGTGAATTCAACCACCACCAATGTGCTAGAGCATGAGAATCAGGAAGTGAAACACATTAGAATCAAAAGTAAAATGGAGCAACGTCTGTGACAATTAGGGTCCAGACAATCCAAGGGGAGAACAGGGGTGGAGGGGGAGGGAGGTCTGGACCCTAAAGTCACCAGATGTTCCAATATTCAGGGCTTTGTCTTAAGGATCCTATTACCCCCCCACACTCCACTGTCCTGATTTTTCACATTTGCTATCTGGTCACCTACTGAACCCCCAAAGAATAAGCAATTGATCAACTGGTTGTATACAATGTTATTGTGGATAAAAATATGTAAAGTAAGGTCTTTTATGAATGCTTGTAATGTTCTGAACTTGATGGTCATTGTGACCTTTATATATCCAGTGGTTTTGAATGTATGTATTTGTGTAGATATAAAACGGTGCTTATAATTTGTGCTGCAATAGTCAAACTCCACCTCACAACAGGAAGGTGGCCAAATGAGCCAGGCAGGGAGGGGCTGCCTCCGCAATCAAATGAGACTAGCTCCAAGCACCTAGAATTATACAACCCAGGAAAAAATAAATGAAGGTCCATTAAAGTTAATGGAAAGACACTGAAATGGAAAAGAAACCCCTGGTCTCAGAAAACTAAGGCCAGGTCTACATTACAGACCTATATCGATAAAACTATGTCGTTCAGAGGTGTGAAAAATCCCCATGCCTGAGCTACATAGTTATTCCGACCTTGCCCCCCCCCCCCCCACGTAAACAGTGCTATGTCAACGGCAGAGCTTCTCCCACTGACACAAACCACCTCCCCGAGAGGCAGTAGCTAACAGTGCTGATGGGAGATATTCTCCTGTCAGCACAGGAGCATCTTCACTTAAGCAGTGCAGCAGCTGCCGATGCACCATTGTAAATGTGGACCTGCTCTAAGAAAAAAGAGTTTCCCCCTCTCTAAATAACCATGAGTCATTATGCAAGAAGAATGAGGGGAAAAGGAGAAAAAATCCTTTTAAAAGAAAGTTTTATCCAGAAAAAAAGGGACAGTCTCGGTGGCAGGGTGTGATGTTCCCCTCTGGTGTTATCTGGACCGGTGATCTGCTAGGTCACTCCAATCCTTGACTCTGGGAGCCAGCCTTCCCCTGCTCTGCTGTGAGAACCCCCACTCCTGGGCAGGGGCGGCTCTATGTATTTTGCTGCTCCAAGCATGGCAGTCAGGCAGTCTTCGGCGGCATGCCTGCGGCGGTCCGCTGGTAATGCAGATTCAGCGGCATGCCTGCGGGAGGTCTGCCGGTCCCACGCCTTTGGCATACCCGCCGCCGAAGCCGCGGGACCGGAGGACCTCCCACAGGCATGCCGCCGAAGGCAGCCTGACTGCCTCCCTCACGGCGACCGGCAGGCCGCCCCCCGCGGCTTGCTGCCCCAGGCACGCGCTTGGTGCGTTGGTGCCTGGAGCCGCCCCTGCTCCTGGGCTGTTCACGCACAGCCTATGGCATGTAAGCTGCTCCCAGCTACTTGCAAGCAAATGACACTAGCCAATATCCCCAGTCCCAGACACAACCCTAGGAACCTCCGTCTTGCATGTCTAGTTATGCCCGCTGGATGCTGCAAGCTTATATGACTTTGTCAATTTAACAAAGAAATTGATATGTACTAGGCTTGTTATCCCCAGGGGAGTCTCTCACACGCTTCAAACCAAACACACTGCTTCAGGTAGAATAAACAAACAGATTTATTAACTATAAAGATAGATTTTAAGTGATTATAAGTCAGAGCATAACAGGTCAGGCTCAAATGAAATAAAAGCAAAACTCATTCTAAGCTGATCTAAACACTTTCAATGCCCTTACAAACGTGTGCCTCTCACCACAGCCTGGCTGGTTGCTCTTCAGCCAGGCTCTCCACTTTGATCAGTGGTTCAGTCACTTGGTGTGGTGTCTGTAGATGTAGGTGGAAGAGAGAGAGAGAGAGA